TATTAATGTATTTTGCTTGAGCTTTGTTACGAATCATCTTCAACATTTTAATGGTTTTGGTATCCTAAAGAAAAAAGTTGTAAACAAAGGCACACCACATCCTAAAAGTCTATGCATGTACACTATGGACTTTAAAATAACGAAGTGTTGTGCCTCCTGAACAAATCTATTCTTTGCCTTCGACTAAAGCACTTGTTCTCCGATCGCAGAACCATTTTGCAACTGTTCACATTCGCAACCCACCTCCTAAATGCACTTCACACGCAGAACCTTAAAAAATATCCGTTAGTTTTATTTGAACGCGAAAAATACAGTAAAAATAAAAGCAAGCGTCCTCTTTTACCTTTTTTCCGTTCGAGCAATGACGAGAGGGCACTGAATAAAACCAGTCCAGCGGTTGGTTTCACGGAAATTTGCAGCGCGGCTGTTTGCCGCCTAAATTGAAAGAATCGCAAAAATCTGACACAAAAAGTTCAAAGAATCCAAATAGGTTGGATAAAAATGTGGTTTTAAATTTCATTTCTAGGGAAACAGTGAATTTTGTTATTAAATTGTAAATGTTACAATCAAAACTCATAATCGGTCAAAACCACTTTAGACTTCGAAAATCAGTCAAAAGTGGTTTCGCCTGATTGAAATTTTAGCAATAAGTCCCAAATTCATACAAAGTAATGATTGTCAAAAGTGGTTTTCACTGATTATGAGTTTTGACTGCAACATAAAAATTATATTCACCTTATGGAACATTGTTTGGTACACGCACTGGCCGCCTAGAATTTAAAAAAAATTAAGATCGGTTTTTGTTTTTTGTTCTTCAATATTCCACGTTTGAATTTAGAATATTTAGGCTGAGTTGCACCATCTTATTTGCTCGTGATTATAAGCTTATCTGATGTTTTTTGTACGAGTATGGAGGTTGATAGACTTTTGACGTTTGTTAAAGTTAAAGTAAGATGGTGCTCATGCTGCTCATAACATTTTAATGATTTGATTTGACCATTTAAAGTTTATCAATGAATGAAGTTAGGTGTAATTGGCGTAACAAGATATTATTTCAGGCAAAACATATTTATGAAGACTTTGGAAGCCCGCCTCAAGGCGTAGCACTGGCCAAGAGCAAGTTTTAATTGTTTTACCATCATAAAAGATGGAAGCCGGCCAAACTCGAGCCTTTCATGAATTTATTCTGGTGGAATAGCTAATAATGGGGCTTGAACAGACGTGTAACAATTCATCGGTGAAAAGTGTGCTTATTAACTCTACTTTTAGTTGTTTTTTTTACACAATACTAACTAATAACTGGGTGGTACCTATAAAAATTACCAGCAGAGATTAATTTAACAATTATCTAGGGTAAACTGCCAGTCATTGGACACTTAAGAAAGTTATTGGACAGTTATTTACTGAATTAAAAATAGCATTTCTATTTCAACAACTGAGAGATTCCGACTGATGGAGATAAAAGGGCGATTTTTTAAAGGAATATTAATGAATATTCAATTCAAATTCCTTCAAATACCATTGTATTTGAAGGAATATTCATTTTAAGAAAATTCAAGGGTTGTTTTGTCCAATGACTGGCAGCGTCCAATGACTGTAGGTTTACCCTACAATTAACTAGTTTAAGTTTTCTATTTTCACATAAACTTTAACAAAGTTGAAGTGTTTATAAAATAACAAAAATAGGTCTTTATAATAAACCAATGGTTGTGTAACAATATTGCTCAAAGTTAAAACGTAAAATAACATGTTCAAAAACGACTTAAACTGAACGGAACAAACACATCCAAGTCAATACTTACAATACTTTGGTAGTTGATACTAGATAGTCATCTTCAGGAAAAACTCCCTTCGTCGTATATCGCATCTGAACTCGTCGGATGAGATTGTGATCATGTAAAAGTCACCCTAAATAAGTATACAAACAAAAACAGAATTGGTTGTCGCCGTCTTAGGTTATTCTTTTATAAAGGTTAGAAAATTGTATCAATTGTTAAGCAAAATTGGACCGTAATGAAGATATAAATCTATGAAGATGTCTATGGCCATTTGAGTAGAAGGCGTTGCAATAAATATCTTTGTAAACTAAACCGTTGCTTCGGTCAAATCGAATCATTTCGATGTGCATGTCGATGGGTTCTAGTAAAGTGTGACAGCATGGCGTCACTTTTTACACTATCGTACTCGATATATAATAATGTAACCTGTAATGTTAGAATTAAGATTGTTATTAAATAAATACATATTACCTACAGGTAAGTAATTAATAGTCTACACGTGTAGTATGAATCCGATATATGAAGCAGGACCTTAAATTCAGTGAAATATGATAGACGGGACCAAGATATTTCCAAAACGATGTCTGTTTTTCGTCGAGCACTTCACCTCTTGTGGGCAGAGCCAATATTTTGGGGAATTTCCCTGCGCAAACATCGGGGCGCGAAATCAAGCTTCGCTTGTTTTTTTTCTCGTTTGCTTTGTATTTATTGGCATTCTAACGTCAGTTTAAAAGATTATTGTAAAAAAGCTTTTTTGAAAGTTTTTAGATGAAAACAGAATAATAAAATTGAAATGTAATGTTAATTATGAAAAATCTAAAACGTTAAAATAACGATATAGTTGTGGGCAATGAGTTGCTGTCATAGTGACATTGACAATACGTCAATGTCACACGAGAATCAAACGTCAGAATAGAGGGACGCGCGGAGACACTGCCGCGCGCTTTTGTGCTAAGTGATGAATTGTATCTAAAATAAGGCAATATAATGTGAAAGTTGAGTATCCAGTGTTTTATTTATGAGAATAGATCGACCGACCTTTAATAGTAACTATTGACCAAGATACCTCTAATGTTGTTTGAAATTTTACTTTAGGAACAACAATAGTTCAAAAATAATTAGCACCTAGCATGTTTTAATGCGTCTTAACACCAAAAGTTACTTTACTTTGCAAACTCCAAGAATAAATATAATATTCATAAAGAACAAACTCTGAAAATAAAATCTTTTATAGCTCTAGTAAAATTCTAAAACGGGAAGAAAACTTAATTGCGTTGTCCTTAAAGCCAGTATAGACGTTGATGAAAAAGTTACGGGCATGCTAAATATAAGGGCGTGAATACATGGAAGGAAAAGTCGTAGAAGCGCTTCATATAATGCATCCGATATTTTTTTTAAAGTTGGCCCAAAGTTTTTCTGTTTTTGTACTTCTTGTTCCTCTTTTACGGTGGAAAAAAGTAACAAAGCACATTTATAAATACCTATTGGACATTTAGACTCCAGAACTACAAACATAGTGCATCATTTTTATTAAAACAAATAAAATGAGTCATAGAAATCAGTAACGCAGCTATGAGCATGTGTGATGCCCAATTATACAAGTGCTGATGCTAATTTAATTTAATTGTTAATTGTACTCTATAGCTATAGGGTGAAATAGATTTGAATAATTATGTTACTCATAACTTAGCGTAAATCGATTTCAGCTACAGAATATAAGGGAGAGTCCGCTAATTTGGACCAGTTTTTTTCAATCCCATTTTACACATAGTTTTCTTTTGTTTTTGCTAATGTCCATGGTATATAATAAAAGATACATTATTCAACTTACTATTTCATGAGTATTAATTAACATGATTGTTGTATATTTAGCACAAATCAACAAAGTACGAGTTCAGAGCTTCGGTCCAATTTAGCCAACCGGTTCGATAATTTGTACCACAGGGTTACTAAATTGGATTTCAATAAATTTCAAGCCTTTAAAAAAACTATGGCAAAATATTATACGATACGTTCTTAACAAATTAGGAAACGAAGAGGAACAGTAGTTAATAACATAGACAATCGATATTGTTTTACACGTTATCACGATTTTGAGTAAAGTTTTGTAATTCCAATTATCGTAACGCACACTTCTACCTAATCTACTTTGCCAGTATTTTGCTTTCATTTACTGTTAGTCAAACACATCTACGCTATTATAACTTCAAAATATAATTTACTAAAAAAAATTTCAAAATCCTTTGGTAAAGTTCCATACAACTTGATGTGGTACAATTTAGCCGACTAGGTGATAGTGCTTTTAAAAAATCGGTAAAAAATATAGCTTATAAATACCGAAAAATGTTTCAAATAATTGTAATCCACACTAATTTACGCTTCTAAATAATATATTAGAAACANCATAAAATATCTATAAAATGGTAATAAAATAAAGTTTGAAAATTGTGTAATTTGACTTTTGACCCCTATTTTTTGTAATTATTTTTTGTTTTGGCCTCATCCCAATAGATTATTAATTAACCTTTACTGGTTTGACAGGTTGGATCGCTATTTAATAAGATGACAACTACAGGCTACTTTTTTGAGTAAAAAATAATTGTATTTTTTTACGTTATCTTAAAATGACATTTAGGGAGCAAAAGGTCAAAAAGTATTAATGATGCTGTTTTTATATTTTTAACAAAAAAAAAACAAAGAATTTACAGAATTATTAATCTATATTGTGTTATTGTAATTGAAAACTGAAACTTATTAAATTGTTTAACTAATACTGATTTAGCCACTTATTAATGTAATTCAATTGTTTCTCGTAATCATCACCATCATCATCATCATTATTTCAGCCATAGGACGTCCACTGCTGAACATTGGCCTCCCTCAATGATTTCCATGTTGATCGATTGGTAGCGGCCTGCGTCCAATGCATTTCTCGTAATAATTAATTTAATTTGCTTAATTGCCTTCAAAGGTAAAATAAAAAATGCGAGCTCAGTTAAAATTATTTATTTAACTAAGTGCTGAATAAATATCTTATTACAACAACTCTTACAACTAAAAATAAATTACAATATTTAAATAAAGTCGACGGGGCTCGCGCTTAGTACAGTCTTCGACAAGAATCAGTCTTAATTAAAGGTACTCAACGTCCTAATTCATTTGGACATCAACGAAGGTTTGAACTAGAACAGGGTCCATTTGGTTAGGACGTTGAGTGTTCACAGCTAAATGCCAGACCATCTGGGTATAGCCACAAAAAAGATAGAATCAGAAGACAATCTACGTACAAAGTGCACTTGGGTAACGCACACGTAGACAACGCGATAATTGCGTGAAGAATCGCAAACCAGTCTAAACCAGACTAAACCAGTCTAAACCAGTGCGAGCGCGAATGTTGCCCGCTTTTTGCGATTGTCTTCTGTTACTATCTATTTTGTGGTAGCGGATCAAATCGAAACGATGGCCTGGCATTTAGCTATTGCAGTGTCACATGATCCGTTCGTCCAATTATGGGGTAGCCGTTGGCATGGCCACAGGTGTGCCGTACATTTCGGGCATTTGGGGCATTTGGGGCAACTGGGGCATAACATACATGGGCATGGTCATGGTCGGAGCGTTACTCAGGCCCGCGGGCGGTAGACCAAATAGGAATCTGAAGTAGCGCGCGAGGTTCCATAAAACATTGGACGTCTCCGGTACCCTGTAGAACAATATCCGTAAATTACAAATAATAATGTGAAATCAAATACAGTACTTATAGATCTTTTCATCCACGAAGACGCGCCCCACCATTCTTCCGCTAATGTTTGAGTGTTATCGGTACACGCTAAATTATCCAAGAGCGCACACGCACACTACAATAATGACGCTCGGATTGCTCTGATCAAACTCCCCGTACCCCGCGCGTTTTCATGGATGAAAAGATATATAGTTCTTGCAACTCACGAAGGCGAGCGAGCTTTACTTGTGTGTGTACGTGTACATGCACAAACGATAGTGTAATGTCTGTCAAAACTTTTGAAAAACGTACAGTAGCGAGCCACCACACATGTTAAGCTCACTCGCCTTCGTGAATTGCAACAACTATACCATGAGATTACATTGATACCCCACAGGCTACAGACTTTTAGTACGATAGTTGGGTCGACTTCCAATATTTATGAGGAATCGGCCGATGCCAAATCGGTGTAAGGTACTAGACTTTCATACATGTTCATAATCATTAACAGCCCAGCCAAACTATCTGCTGACATAAAGTCTGCAGTCTACGGTGTGATTAGGAGCGACTGCGTAAAAAAATTACATAAAATGTATGACAGATTACTTTCAAGTGATAAAATCATCATAAACTTTTTTGACGCACTCGCTAGCGATGACATAATGTAAACTCATGGTAAAGATACAGACGTTAAGTTTAAAGGAACTGTTAGGCTCGAAGAGTTTGCTTTGATACGATCAGCAATAGTAAATACTTATTGATACCGATTGATAAAGTAAAATCATCGAGACTGATAATAATAAATTCACAAGCAACATGAATAATTCGCTGATCATACAATTACAAAACAAGCTTTTAGAGACTTGCAACTAAATTTCCATGATCACTTTTCAATTTCGATTAATTTACTAGAAACTTAGAATGTTATAGAATACGAGTTTAAAAAAAGTGATCATAAAACTGAAATTAATAGCAGAACATTGTAAACATTCTCATTGATATTTACAAAATAGTCCACCCTTTAACACCATGTTACAAAATTTTATACAAAATAAATCTGCATTTAAAAACCTTTGAAAACCACCACCAAGTTGCTGACGCTACCCTATAAATGCTAGTTTAAATGCAAAAACCTTAATTAAATGCAAATTGTTCGATTCCGTATATAAAACTTGAACCTAGGACTTCGTTTTCTTTTTCTTTTTTGTCGTCTTTACTTTTGCTGGTTTTATCTTGTCTACTTCTTTACTATTAATATGCTCATGTAGCTGCTCTTCTACACTAACATACCCATCAATCAATTCCAAAGTCCACATTAATATTTCGTAGGCAAAACTATAATATTTCGGAGGCTCTTTAGACTTAAGAGAATCTTTGATTACAGATTTAGCATAGTCTTGAGCCTGTTTAACAACTTTATCCATAAAATCCGAACTAAGTAAATTTTCAAAGAAATCAAAAAAGCCCCTACTTCTCCTACCGACTCCAAAACTATTTTGATTCACATTTTCAAAGACAGTGGAATTGCGGTAAGTGACTACAGTAGAATCATCGTCGATACTTCTTTTAGATCTCATGCGGTTTTTCGGTCCAAAAACTGGTTTAGTTTTATTGTATGCTTTTTTTGGTTGGGCCTTTTTAGTAAAATTAATCGACAAAATTGGATGTTCAGCTAAAACTATAATAGGCTTCCATTCACCAGATGCCGATAATGTTGCATTACTTGTATTGTTCGTAGCGTTATTAGTGGGCACGAATGTTTCCCTTCTGTAAGGCCTAAGCCTGCTATTATTGGGCCTAGCCACAAAAGTGTTTGGATTGACAAAAAACTTGACTTTCGGGTAGTAAAAAGTATTCGGATAGTTGTATTTATATTTTTTCGTTTTCAGATAATCGTACAAGTCCTTGTTGTGTTTCAACCGTTCCAGGCTGATTTTCAGTTCTGTGTATTTCTTCGGCCTGTGCTTGAACGTTTTTCTGTACGTCATTTTTCTCTGCGCAATCAATCTGGGTTGTGGCACGAGTATGACTTTTGGTTGCGGTGCACTCTCAGCAACTTCTGGTTCGTAGACCGCCGTGGTGGGAACATCCGAGTTCATCCCTCTGAAGGTGGCTGGCATCGAGTAGAATACGTTAGCGATTGGGTCGACAAGACTCCTGATGCGTTCTAGGATTGGTTCAAGGAATTTTAGCAGTTTCGACTTACCGTCCCATCTTTCTGATGCTCTTGTTGAGTTAACTAGTTGGAGAGTCGGCGCCTGTTGCGACTGCTGAGCGGTGGCGTCTGCGGTCTGCAAGAGCTCGTGTGCATGTGGGTGGTTTGCCATTGCAGTAGGATTATACATCTCTGGTGCTGCAAACTGTGGGCTCACTCCGCTTACGGAGTATGCGTGCGAAGAGGCGCTCGGAAAGTCAATCGGGTATTGCGAATATAGATACGGGTGGTTTTGTAAACCGACGCTGGAATTAAAAATACGCTTTTAAGGTGTGCGGCTCTAACATCACGTCAGTCGTAGTCCAAGTCAGGTTTGTTGTTTAGTCCGGAATTACGTTTGCATTTGCGTTAATGGTTTCTAGTAGTCTGTAAATTTTTTAAACCTATTTTGACCCCAATCTCAATGATTAGTTGCTAGTGAGTTTGAAGGTGTTTTTTTTTTTTTAGTTTTACTATCATCTATTTTTTGAGTCTGTTTTGACCTAAGGCGAAAGCAATTGGTTTAATTCTCTAAGAGCAAAAGTGAGACCTAAATATATTTTTAAAATGGTTAATTTTTTTAAATGTCGTTAGTTTGTAGTTTACGAAGTCACACAGTGTCTGAACTTTTGAAGGCTATTATGAAAGTACCAATCAGCGTGTAATTTTGTTGAATTAATATTTTAGTGCTTATGAAAGCAAACAAGGTTAGAATTAAATAGTCCATACTCATGTGTAATTATTTTGTAATATTTTTAAATAAATCTGTTGCGAAAATCTAAGTGTAATTAATTTTTCAGTCAATCATGATTTAGATTTGCAAAAAAGTTGCTGATTCCTTTATTGATCACTGATTGTTTAAATTTATACAACATATCCATTAGGTGTATAATCCAAAAATAATAACTTTATTTCAACAATGTTTCCCGAGTTGTAACTTAATTATAATTTATTTCCTGTAATAAATAATGAGATTTATGTAACTTCTGGTTACAATGTATCAATATTTATTAATAGTAAATTGTTATTATTTCTTCAAAGTTAGCCGATAGTTAATAATTTGTAGTTGATGTATTTATGCGATTATGAACCTAAAGTCAATTGAAGAGCTCCAATAAAAAGTAATTTTCGTGTCACATTATTATGTTATTATTCCAGCGGACAGTTTTCAGTCAGTCACGTAACGCAAGAGAAACTGTACAGTCTACAAGAAAATTTTAATTACCACCAGGTGAAAGTCACAAAAAATAGCACGCAGTCTGCGTGAGGAAAATCTTGCATTTTTCATGTGTCTAGAAAAATGTTTTCCACCGTTCAAGTGGAACTAACTTCCACATTATGTACATTACTATACGTGCGTGTCATTGTCAGTCAAGTCATGCTTTGAATTTACAGATTAGAGCGTTTTAGAAAAGCAGAATGAGCCAATGAAAAGTCTGGCTCACACTGCTTTTGTCAAAAAATAAAATAGGCGTAATGCTATTGAGAAACTGGTATTTGTTTGAGAAATATTGATTTGTGTGCGATAATTTACTAAAAAAATACTTCGCGTTACAGTTTCTGATGATGATAAGCTTGTTAGATAGAACATATCAATTCTAAGTGGCCTTTTTTCAATAACTAAAAGGAAAATGCTATAAACTATGACTGTATATTTAACAATAATAAATTACGCGTGTTTTTATTACACAATTATTATAATAACATTATTATTTTCTCTTTTTGAATGTATAATTTATTATTAGCTATATTTCACTTTCAGAGAATACATAATATTATACAATTATTGTAATATCACATTTTGATTTATTGACATTTAATTATTATTGTTTATGATCTAATATTTTATATAGTAACCATATTATTTAATTGATTTATATTAATTAATTACCTACGTTAATAATTTTGTATAATTAGATTACGATACGTAATCTACGTCAAAACAAGCAAAAGAATTGTTGTTGTATACTGAAATATTTTTGTTATCCAATTAATAAGATAACAATCTAAGTAGATGGAATTCTTCCTTCAATTTCTAAAGATATATAATTACTTTAATTGTTTGCCACAACAAATAATAATTTTACAGTCACTGAGTCATTGAAATAAAATTGATATAGATCATTCCAATTAGAAGGAAACTGCATTTTTATAGCAAAATAAAGAAATTAAGATACTAAGTTTAATTTCTATTACTAAATTGGTTTATCGTTTCTTATCTTTTGTGAATATGCTTCAGTTTTGAAACAGTTGATTTATTTAGAAGGCAGGGGACTGATCTCTTGTTCATAGTCTAATTATATTTGCGAGTCTTTTTAAGCAATAATGTGAAATAAAATATGCTTCAGTTTTGAAGCAGTTGATTTATTTAGAAGCCAAGGGACTGATCCCCAGTCCAGTGGAATTATTTTTACTTGTTTTTTTTTTCAATTAGTTAGTTCTTTAGTTATAGTAATGCATTTCCATGTATGCGTGTTTGTCTTGTTGGTTGTTCTAATAAATAAAATTAAAATTATTCCTTTTCCTCTCAAAATGCCAGAACAGTTTCTCAATGACATCACACCTGTTCAATCACCATTTTTTTGTTTACTTACCCACTGGTGTATGATTCGTACAGTTTCTTGGCGGCCATGCCAACCGTCACCAGTAGGGCCAGTTTGCTAGCAACGAACGCCTTCAGCGTCAGGGCGGTGACTATGGCAAGTGCGAAAATGACTACTGCAGCAGACTTCATGCCGAAGAGCAGGGGAATTACAGCCATTAGGACTTTTTTCCGTTGCCGCCTCCCTGGAAAGAGAAAGGGATTGGTTGAGAATGTGTGTTTTTGGTTAAGCAATAATGAGACTTATGACGAAAAAAAAAATAAGCGGACAACACTATAGTTGGACAACACTGAAATATCCCAGATTTATGACATTTATAGGAGACTAATATCAATACTGCGTTATTAGTTCTATTTTTTGCCACTAAAGTGTCCCCATATTTATGACATTTAGAGGGTACAAATATCAATACTGGGTTTTTTAAATCCGATTTTGGTTACTTGACGTTTCAGAATCGGTAGACTACTATGACAGGAATAACAACATCATTATAACTGTCATTCCTTCCTTCGGCAATAACATTCTACAGGACGAAACACACTTATCAGCCTGAAAATGGATCGTAATCGAATTAACTCCAGGCAGTCAGTAGTTCTTTGTATGAAACTGCAACGCACTTATTCGCACCGTAACGTAACGTAAACGCCTCGCGGTTGTTGTTAACGTAAACAACTTTCCACCAATTGATCCCTTTCCGAGTTCATATACGTGATACGTCCTTTAATCTCCCCACATACAAGCCATGTCGCACTATACTTTCATTCCAAACACCTCACTTTCAGTTACTGATAGTGTCTGGTCCATGAACTTTTTTAAGATGTCATTTTTTGTAAGTACCTATCAAAGATTTCAAATTGCAATAGAATCCTACATACTGCTACAGAGAAACAGTCTACACCATGTCGATATCACTTGGAATGGGTCTAGACAAAGCAATAAAGGAGAATTAAATTCTTCACTGCAAAACGAGTGTTAGGATATCGTACTGCGAGGCATTTGTCGATGGTTTTATCGATTAAAATAAGCGGGTCATTGTTACTAAGTGATTCTAATGTACATGATTTATAGCAGCAATGCAAGTAAAACTCAAGTAAAGGCTTACTTAGTCTTGAAAGAAAGTTGTGCAGCATTTGCAGAAAGAAAAAAAAGTACTTAAAAAAATTAAATAAAACGATTATCATTAATTTTGTAGTACTGTAACAGTAAAAAACAATTCTAGCGGGATAATTTACTAAACTATTTGTATTTAAGGTTCTAGTTAGTTCTATCCAAAAATACTGCAGTCATAATTGTAGAGTGAAGCAGCGGAGCTAAACAACACAGAAAATGTTTCTGAACTCTACACTTTTACACAATAAACATAAATTACTTAATTATACATTTTGTCTTTAAATAAATCAGTCTTTTACACGACAAAATGTTGTTTATACTCGTATACAATGAAGTTAATGCACTCGAATTAATTAACGTTTTTAAAGTTTTAATACAAGAAGTATACATTTATTTTCGATCTTTAAAATAAATCTGTTTTTACACAACAATATTCACTTCATATTTGTGGACAATATAGGTAATGTTCTCCAATTAATAATTTTAAAGTTATAATTACTATAATACTTAATGTTATTAAGAAAAATAAAATTTTATTACCAGCAAGCCGCACTCAAGCGTCACAAAACATTTATTAATAGTTTTGTAAATTAACATTGTATCACTGTTAAAATTGAGATTTAAATTTATCGATACCAAAAAATAGCTTATGAATTCCTGCACTAGAGTTAGTCGGAAAAATGGGAACAGGGTGTAACGTGGAAATTTTTAGAATTCAAAAATGGTTGATACGGTTTTTTCTTATTCCAATAAGGACTTTATGAAAGAAATCATGAAGAGGATTTTCATTTCATTTAAATAGGAACATAGACAAAGATTAATATCATCATCATAATTTCATCAAATTGGCCTCCCTCAATGATTTTCAGATTAACCGGTTGGTATAGTTGTTGCAATTCATGAAGGCGAGTGAGCTTTATATGTGTTGTGGCTCGCTACTGTTTCTTTTTCAAAAGTTTTGATAGACATTACACTATCGTTATGTGCATGTACACGTAAACACACAAGTAAAGCTCACTCGCATTCGTGAGTTGCAAGAACTATATCGGCCTGCATCCAGCGCCTTCCTGCTACCTTTATGACGTCGTCTGTCCACCTTGTGGGCGAAATTATAAGATGTGCTTGTTATTTTATTTTTTTACACATTTTTATGCCATTCAAATTTTGTGGACTTTCGTGGAAAATATAAAATATGATTTTGTCAGTTTTCTCTAAAAATAATTTTTCTCTGAAAATCTTATCAGAGAAGAAAAGTACTTGAAAAACAAGATCAATCTAAACTAAGTATTATTTATATGTACCAAATAGACTAAAATGCTTTTTACATAATAAACAAGGGCAAACATCTGTATCCTTCGAACATTGATGAATCTAGATGACATTGAATAACCAACAATGTCACTGGAAAATCAACTCTAGGTTTTAGAAACAAGCTTTATATTTCTTTGAGAATAATATTGAAAATGTTGCTTCAATAGATATTTTTGGAATTAATAAAAATGATAGTATCTACTTGTATCGGAATTGTACGAAGTGGTGTAATATTTTACCATAGAAACCATTTATCTTACTTTCTATTTGTGAAAAATAGTCACTGTAAATGATAGATGTGTTACAGAATTGTTACACTAGATTACACGATACATTACTGTTCGTTCGTTTCAGGCGAAATACGTCCACTGCTGGACAAAGGCCTCCCCCAAGGTTTTCCACAATGAACGGTCCTGCGCTGCCCGCATACAGGCTCTTCCCGCGACATTTATCAGATCGTCGGTCCTCCTAGTGGAGGCCTGTCCACGCTACATCTTTCGGCTCGTGGTCGCCACTGAAGAACTTTCCTGCCACAGCGGCCATCAGCTCTACGAGCTGTGTGCCCCGTCCACTGACACTTGATTTTAGCGATTCTGAGGGCTATGTCAGTCACTTTGGTTCTCTTACGGATCTCCTCATTTCTGATACGATCACGCAGGGAAACTCCGAGCAAAGCACGCTTCATCGCCCTTTGGGTGACCTTGAGCCTTCTTATGAGGCCCATAGTAGGTTACTGTAATCTAGTGTAATAATTCTGTAACACACCTATCATTAAACTTAATTTATATTATCCTGCTTTCGCCTCCGAGATTTATTTTACCATGTAGTACCCCTGTACGACAACCCAATNCAATGAAAAAATACTTTTCAAAATAAAACACACGTGTTTGTTGTCACGGCAAAAACCACATAGCCGATATTAATTGGTTTTAGTTGTGTATCGCTGAGTGTTGCAATTACAGACATTCAATAAATAGTTTAAGAAATATAAGGGTGGTACAATTTACCCGGCGGTACAATATACCGAACTCTCCCCTACATATGAGTCATAGTAAGCAAGCACGTCTTCTGACGCATTCGAAATAGCATTCAGGCTTTATGTCTACACAAAAAAAATCTTGTCCTGAATAAAAAAAAACTTTTACAGCTTTTAACGGTTACACTATAGCATTAGCTCTAAAATATATTTTAAGAAAAAAAATACGGTTTCTGTTTTCACTAAGTGCATGATTCCTCAATGAGGATGCACCCTTGCATTTTTGAGCTTCAAACGTATATTGTTGCCGCATGTATCCGCAGCTATTCCATCCACCTCCGCAATTTAATTTGAGATGCAACCACGGCACGTTTAATTGCTTAACTGTACTCCAGTCAAAGAATATTTGAGAACCGCCAAACCATTTAATTTAAAGATTCCGTCGAGTTGCAGTAAGAGATTGACTTGACTCGGAATTTCTGGGTTCAGTTCAAGGCAACAAATAACTTCTCTAGATTATCGTATGATAGCTAGGTTGTTGATAATTATGCGATATGAGAAAAATGAGAGTTAATCTGAAAATTCGGATAGTTTAACGACGCGATAGAATTATAATTAAAAAATAAAAATAATAAATAACAGATAAAGTTGATTCTCTCTTCTCCTTCGACGTATTTACGTTACGTTGATTCCAATGATTAGCACAACTAAAGTTACTCTGAAAGATTTTTGAACATTGAGATGCGACTCTTGATGCTAGAAAATTGTAATAAATAAAGGTACCTACTTTGTTTTTGTACCTAGTAATAAGTCTTTATCATGTATCCCTTAATTATCATCTTTAAACAATATGGTGTTCCAACATAAAGGCTCATCTAATCGCACTTCTCAATCTTTTCTTTCTCAATTTAGCTTGTACATCTGTTCTGTTTTAGCTAAGCCTTAGTTCACATTAAAAACGTAACAAAGATACTCGCGAATGTTCCATTACAAGGTTCTAGAGTATCTAAATGCTGGAACCCGTAAGGAGCTCTCCCGTCTTGCATTTAAAGTTGTATCTGACCGAAACGAGGGCAGAGTTACCCACACGCTGTTACTTTCTTAATTCGTTCTAGGATGCACTTTAACGACTACTCAACCGTTGTTTTCGTATATCTTTGCATATTTTGCTCTGGTCTGCATTGCCAAGATTTAATAAGCAAGGTTGCATTCTACATTTAAGCTTAAATATTAAAATTGATTAAATATTTTTGTATTAAGTCTGTTCGTGGTCTGTTTGTTATATTTTCATGATTAAACCGCTGAATTCATTCAGATTTTTTTTATTAAAGGAATAGAGCTTGTAAAATAATTAAGGGGTAAAAATAAGTGGGTCTTTGTACTCATGCAGAGATTTATTCTTACGCAGGCAAAACCGGTATTGATAATCAGTGTAACGATAATGACATGAAAATATAGTGCCTAGATTGAAATACATTCAAGATAAATAAAATAAACACGGAGATGAATGAAATATTCCCTCTTTTGTAAGTATTTGATGTTCATTACAGCCGCAGATTGTCACATCAACTCATATTGTGTGGCTCCATATTTCGGAATCGGCTAAGTATCTAGATAATTTGAAGAGATCACCCAGATGTAACTTATTTATTTTTCAAACATAGGCACCTACAGGGCAGATATGTACCATCCTAGACTGCATCTCACCTAACACCAGGTACGATTGCGGTCAAATACCTGCTTAGATAATCATAAAAAAGGTAAAGAGCATAAAACGAGCCATAACCCGAGCAGTCTTCGCAAATCAAACCATTGACGGAAAAACAACCGAGAATCGCGAATGAATTCAAATAACTAAAGAAACCAAGAGCTGGTATTACCGCCCGCAGTTGGCACGGGCAAGCCGCGCCGTTATTAATTATTCCGTTATGAATGGAGTCCCGATAGAAGGCATTAACGCGAAGATAATGGGCATGCTCCTTCGAGCCGGGAGTTCCGTCCCACAGCGCTGAGGGAATGCTCTGATTACCGATTGCGATTCAATAATTACTTACCCAGACACCTAGCAAATGGCTTTTCAATCACATTAACTGCATCTATGATCAGGTAAAACCACCTCTCAGATCCAGAAGTCCCGGCTTAGGTTCCCAGTAGTAGACTACAATGTATCGTTGGTGGTAGGGCTTTTTATAGTCCGCCTGGATAGCTACCACCATCTAACCTAAGATAACAATGTTCTTGGTTTTCGGCAGCGGAGCTAAGATATGATAAGATAAAAAGCTAAGGTAGCCAGTTATTGTCTTGATTTAGACAATTGAGTAGAAGCTTGAAAATGTTGCTTTTACGG